GATTAATTTCTTTCTATTTTTAGTAGAGATGGGGTCTCGCTCTTGCTCAGGTTGGTTTCGAACTCCTGAGCTCAAACAATCCGCCCGCCTCGGCCTCCCACAGTGCTAGGATTACAGGCGTGAGCCACCGCACCCGGCCTGACTGACTGTATATTAATGAGCCTCGAGTCCCTTTTAGGATCAGAATGTTCCCTGAGTCCCTGCCCAGCCTCCAGCAGCCAGAGCAGATGGGCAGAGCCAGCTCTGGAAAGGTTACTTCCTAGCTCCCTCGTCACGATCTTGATGATGGTGAAAACCCGTTCACTTCTTTGCCTCCTTGTCTGATAAATGGCCTCCATATGTCCTAACTGCAGCTCCAGGGACTAGCTCCAGAACATGCTGGAAGGAGGGCTTGGCTCTCAGCCATGAACTTTATAAATTATGGGCATCTCGTCCACCCATCCATCCTTTCAGCCTATACTTGAGAGCACCAGCTCTGTATCGCGTCCATACATACAGTCTGCTGGGATAGAGACAGGTGATCGGGAGGCTGCAATGAAGTGTGACATGTGCTGCGACAGGGTCATCTGGGGCACTTTGTAGGGGACCTGATTCAGTCTGTGAGGAGAGCTCACAAAGGAAGTTCCACCTTAAGGCCAAGACTTGAAAGATAAGCAGACCTAGCCAGTACAGTGGGGAGGAGGAGGCAGGGAGTATATACCTAAGAGAAGCAAGCGCATGGAGATTTTATAATAGAAACTGCAGGGTTCAAGTGAGCATCTGAAAACAGTCAAGTCTGGCTTATTGTCGAGTGTGAGGCAGGAGGTGAGAGCTGAGGCAGAAGAGGAAAGCAAGGACTGGATCTTATAGCAACATTAAAGCACCTTTGCAAGGTGCAAGGGGGACAGGCGAAACAAACGTGTGAGACAAACTCCGTCGGCCCAGTTGGAGAGGTGGCGGAAGATGAGGGGCGGTCAGGGCACCTGGAGTTGGATTTGGGGTTCAGGAGTCTCACAGCTGTAAGCAAGATGCCCACCACCCCCAACTCCACCTCTTCCTACTAATTCAGGTCACGTGAGCCACCCGGGCTTCTCTGGAGAGGAAGGTGGTTTTCTTGAAAACAGCCTCAGTGGGCCTCCCCAGCCCCACCATCCTGTAGTCCTCTCTCTGTCCTGAGAACATCCCTGCCTTCTTCTTCAATGAAGCACTTGGTGACTGTCCCCACCCCTGTCTTCTCAAGGCTGGACAGGCTCAGGTCTTACAAATCATGCTGGCGCTTCCTAATACATCCAGCCATCCTGCCCTTCTAGAACCACTCGGGTTGTTCCCTGTGGGACCCAGGCCCAGCCTGCACAATCCTGGGTGCCTCAAGGGCCTCCATCTGGATGCCCACCCCACATGTGCCAGCATGGACTTCCTAAAAGCCACCCCCAGTTAATCGGCCACCTGCTGCTGAGGATAAGCTGGCTCTTGCAAGCCAGGAGCCACCTCCCCTCCCCCAGGACTTTCAGCTGTTCTCTGACGGCCCCTCCAGGGGTTCAGCAGGCAAAGTGCAGGACGAGAGCTCCCTGGCTGTGACTCTTTCCTGAGATAGTACGGAGACCTGTCACAGGAAAGGACAGCCATGCACCTGCCACAGATTGTTCACAGTTCACTAAGAGCCATGAAAAAAAGCAGTTATTTGCAGTATTAATTAAAGGAAAAGGGGGCAGGGCAAACCGGAATATCGAACAAGGCCTTGGCTGTGAATGCCAGGCAACGGGGAAGTTTTTGTAATGGGTGTGACAGCCGGAGCCTCCCATTGGCCTTGGGGACACTGACTTTGCAATGATTTAATCACTGCTGGGGCCTGGCTGCTGGTGGTGCGATAGCCCCTAACATTGGGCCTCGAAAAAGAATCAGCAAAGGTCCTCACAGCCTATGACTTTGAAGAGGGCTGTAGGTAGAAGCCAGGGGGTCTCAGTAAAATAATAGCCATCTAATTTGGAGACACTGAGTTTGTCCCAGTTCCATCAAAGGAGCCCAGAGCATGCAGGGCCGAGCGCCTTGGAATGAATCTGGGTTCTCTCTCGGTTACTCACAAGCTCTGTGACCCTGGACAAGTAACTTCAGTGCCCAGAGCCAGCATCCCAGGGTTGATGTGGAGAGTTAGGGGAACTGGGGTGCAGGTTTGACACTTAGCGAATGCTGTTCCTGGACGTGAGGCCCAGCCTGGTTTTTCTTGTGTCTCCTCCAGGCCTCGACCATGGGAGGGGCCAGGGAGACAGACTCAGGTATGGTCGTGGCTTTGTCTATCTCTGTGCTTCCTGCCTCTTGCTCACCTGGCCCGGAGCCCACAGCAGGTGGGTTGTGTAGGAGTGAAGGGGCCATGCCTGACCGTGGGCTGGGGCTGGCTGGTCGGTCCTGCTCCTGTGTTACTGTGGCTTCCCACCCAGCCTGGCCTGGCCCTGGGAGTCTCGACCTGGGTCCATCCACACTTCTATGACTGCCCTGCAGAGGGCTCTGGGGGTCTCTCTCACAGACCCCACTGGCTCCAGGAGTGTCTTGGTGGCATAGCAGCCTGGGCCATCATATCATACACCCTGGAAATGTGGTCATCAGCTCGCAATTCTGACCCTACAAACCAACCTTCCACTCCAACCACACAGAACCTTCTGTTCTCCCAACCTCACCACACTTCTGCATCTTTGCCCAGACTGCGTTCACCACCTGAACGTTGTCCCCAACCCTGCATTCTCATCCTGGCACACGCAGATCGTCACACTCTGATAAGCATCAGAAACATGGCTTGAGCTCCTACTGTGTGCAGTAAGGGGTGGGGGCATGGTGAGGGTTCCAAGAGACAGAGGTTCTGGCCAGAGAGATGACCTGCAAGTTCTTCCAAACCACAACTGCCCCCTCCAACACACACACACACACACACACACAAACACACACGCACATGCACACTCACGCCACCCTCCTGACCTCAGTTCACGCTTCCCTCTGCTTGTTCTCCTTCCCCTGTCATTTTGTGGCCAAATTAGCCTCCACTCTCAGACCTTAGCTCAGATGCCGCTGCCTCCAGGGAGCCCTTGCTTGGAGTCCTCCCGCACCGGTGTGGACCTCCCTCGGGACACTCACAAAGTTTGTTTGAATTCTGGTTGGCCCTGTGTCCTTGGGCCTCAGTTTCCCCATCTGTAAAATGGATTATAGTAACACCTAACTCCTGGCGTAACTGGACAGAGTCAACAGTACACTACCCAGCTTGTACTGACTGCTGACCAAAGCAACTTTTACCACCAGCTGCAGCAGGGCATTCATCTCTGGACCCTCGGCACGGAGCACAGGGCTGAATACATAATTGGTGTCAAATACTTGTTTGGGGGATGGATGGATGAATGGGTGGATGGAGAAATGGAAAACTCAGGTGTGTTTCCAAAATATGAGACGATCTTTGCTAGTCTCCCATGGCAGCGGGGGGTGGAGGGTGAGGGGGAAAGAAACTAACCCTGTTGTCCACGTAGCAACATCCGTACTCAACATCCACAAGTCTCATGTGAGCCTCACAGTAGGAAGAATGAGGAAGTGCCTGTTCTGAGAGGTCGAGCCAGTGGATCACTGTCACACAGTGTATAAGAAATAGTCAGGACTTTGACAGTTTCCTTGATACCTGGAAGGAGGGGAAGGGCTTGCTCCAGGCCTGGGCTGCCCTCAGTCTTAGACTGGAAACTCCTAGGGGACAGGAGGAAGCTGTAGGCAGGGCGGGGCCACCTACCCAGGGCCCTATATAAACTGCCCTGCTGAGAACCTGGCTTTTGGGAATACAAGGACACAGGAAAGTCCGGGCAGTGGGGAGGCCTTGGGGGCTCCCTGCGGGGGCCAGGTGGGGGGCTCTCCAAGCACCCTTCCTTCCCCAGCTCCGCCAGTGCTGTCCTCAGACGCCTCTACGAACAGAAGGAGTTAACTCCGGGCTTAACTTCCTGGAGGAGCCTGAAGCTTTTACTTCTTGGTCTCCCCCCCATTCCCCCCTCCCTTCCTGATCTTTACTCCTCCCGCAGGTCCCTCCTCCTCGCTCTCACCTCCTGGACTCCAAAAACACTCCGACTGCCAGAGTGGGTCAATGGTTAACGCTCTGTGGGCTTTAAATAAGCCTGCCCCGGCTACCTGCCGGCTGGGCTGCATCTTCGGTCCTTGCGTTCCCCGGCTCCTGCAGGCGGTGGCTCTGGCAGCCCTCGTTGGCCCGCACGATGGCCACCTGTTGGCAGGCCCTGTGGGCCTATCGCTTCTACCTGATCGTGTTCTTGCTGCCCATTTTCCTGCTGCCTTTGCCTATCCTCGTCCCCCAGAAGGTAAGGACCTGGTGTTCTGGGCACAGATAACTAGGGGGACTAGGAGGGGGACTGTCTGGGCCAGGGTTGGGCATCCTTAGGACCCAGCATAACCTTCCTCATCCCCGCTGCCCTGGAAGTGAGGCTACAACCTCCTGGTCCTCCTGAGGGCTGGGAGTTAAGAGGTCAAAGGGGGCTCTTGCTTGACACCCAGTAGTAAGAGCCCAATGTGACTTGCTTAGTTGCACTTGAAACCTACTGCCTTGGGGAAGGCAGTTCCGTAAAGGAGATGGGGGGTGGCAGGTGGAGTTGATCTGCCCCACAGGGTGGGCACACCCAGCCCTGGACTGCGCTCCGTGGGGGATGAGAGGAGCTGGCTGCGGGGAGGGGAGGGCAAGGCAAGGTTTGGAGAGGGATAGGGGAGTGGGAGAAAGCTGGCTTTGGGCAGTTTGTGTCTGTAAGAGTGTAAACAGAAAGAGAATGAGTTCACCTGTGACCTCAGGGGCTAAGTCTTCCGAGGAGGAGGGGTGGGAATGGGAAAGGGGGACCCCTGCCAGTGGGCAGCGCAGAAACTATGCCCTGGGTGGAGGGGGAGCTGGGCCCAGCCAGGTGTCACTGCCCCTTCCCCTGCCCGAGAAGAAATCATAACTTCGTCTCTCATTTATTTGAGGCCCTGCTGCCTGCCCTGAACTAGGCACCCAGTAATCCGTTCCCCCATCTTAAGAGGCAGGTCTGACTGTTCCATTTTACAGAAGGGGAAAGTGAGGTTAAGTCATTTACCCAAACTCCTAGAGCAGATCCCGGTTTCGTGGAGCTTGACTTAGACACTTTGGGGCCTCCCTCTATAAGAGAAAGAACACAAAATTATGTATCTGAAATTAACCTGGGGCTTTGGAAAGGGTCTAGGAAGAGGGCCCTGAAGCTCCAGCGTCACAGTAAGCCTGTCTCTGGCAAGTCACAGAGCTGGGAAGTGGCAAAGCTGTGTGTGTGTTCTGGCTCCAAAGCCTGTTGCCTCCTGAAGGCAGAAACAGAGTCGTGGCCCTGGACCCACCCCGCTTCCCTAAGAACTACCCGTCGAGTCATTTTCTTCCTTTTGTCACAGATGCGGAAATCAAAGCAGACTTTTTTGTTCATGGTGTCCCAAAAAGGTGAGGGACTGGGGTTGGTAGTGGCACAGCCCCTGGGCCCCTGACACCTGGTGAGTGACAAGGCCTGGCTGAACTTTGAGATGACCTTCATCTCAGGCTAAAGCCACTGGCATCTCTGTGCTGGGGACCCATCAGAAGGGTTTTCAGACAGGTTGGAGCAAGTGTATTAACACCAGGAGAGAAGCCAGACAGAGACTGTGATTTCCACTGTCCCCTGCCCCCCACTGGGGAATCACGGCCCGGAAAGATTCAGTAACTTGCCCAAGTCCCACGGGAACACCTGGATCTGTGCTGGAAGCCATCTTGGTGGGAGTGGGATGTGTTAGGAGCCCACGTCTTTTCCTCTACGTTGTCTGGCCCTGCAGCCTGCCTCTGGCCCCCAGACACAACCCCATCCTGACTCCCGTCCTGTGTGTGAGAGGCCAGCCCCTCTCCAGGACTTTGCTTCTGCAATTATCCTCTCTCTCTCCTGCATGATCAATTCTTCCCTCTCTGCCTTCTCTCTCCCATCCACATATGGAAACAAGGACCCTCCTTCAGTTCTGCATGCCCTTCAGATACTGCCTTCTTTGCACGCGTGCGCACGCACTCTCTTGCTCTCTCTCTCTCTCTCTCATTCATACAACATAAAGCTTCAAGACGTTGTCTACACCACAAATGCACTTCTCCCCTTAGACGGCTCCCCTCCCCATAACTCGGATCCCCATCTACGTGCATGTGACCAAACCCCTGTCCCACCTCCCACCTCCCTCAACCCCCAGCAGCAACTGTCACAGTCTGTCACCCCCTCTTTGCCATGCTGTCTTTTCTTGGCTTTGGTGACACCTTCTCCTGGTTTTCCTCCCACCTTTCCTGGCTCCTCCATCTAACTTTGAAAGTTGAGGTCTTCCAGGGCCCTTCCTGCCCCTGGGGGACCTTATGCTGTCTCTGTAACCCCAGCCCTAACCTCCAAACTTGTGTTATCCAACAAACACTGGCCACCTCCTGCCAGGAATATTTTCTTTCTACGCAGCGTCCGCATTCCCACGTCCTAATCAACACTCCTACCGCCCGTCGTCTCCAGTTGGCTCTTCCACTGTTACTCACCGAGAAATGCTTCCACTGTCTACCTCGTTGCGCTAGCCCAAACCTCAGAGTCATCCTTGGTTTCCCTCTTTCCTCCCTTTCCACGTGCACTCGCAGGTCCCGTTCACTCGCTCTCCCCAGAGTACTTGAAAGGAGTCAGTCCCCACCCCTCCACTGTCTCCCCGCTGCCATTCCCCACCTGTCCCCCCTGCCAAGACCATGCTTCACCCAACAGCCATGCACAGTCATGTCACCACACTGGCTTCCTGTCAAGCTTAGAATAAAACTCAAACCTCTCAGAGCAGCCACAGGTCCCCAAAGCTCCGCCCCAGACCCCTCGGACTCCATGCCGCCGTATGCCCCACCTCTCACTCAGTCCTCACCGGCTGTCCTTCTGCTCTCCAGATTGCCCGTCCCCTGCCGGGACTGTCCCAGACGCCCCCTTCTCATTCTTTAGGCTTCAGCTGAAATCTACCTCCTCAGCAAAGCCTTCTCTGACCAACCCCCGTCATTCTTTGCTACATAGCCCTGTTATTTTATTTATAGGACATGCGCTGTCTGAAATTAAGTGTTTACTTACTTTCTACTTCTCTGACTTTCTACACTAGAATGCAGGCTCCACAAGGGTAGGAACTTATGTCTTTTTCCATGCAAAATCCCCAGTGCCCGGCACAAAGTAGATGCTCAAAAAATACTTGCTGAATAAAGAAAGGAAGGATGGAAGGAATATGGGCAAAGACGACCCTGTCCTGCATCCCTGTTGAATCTCTGCTCTCTGTGATGAATCTCCAAGCTTAGCTCCATGGCGCTGGCCCCCAAAGAGGGAAGGGGAAGCCCCAGAGTAGGCTCAGGTCTGTGTCTGTGATAACAGTATTGACATCTATTGAGTATATTTTATGTGCTGGGCATTGTGCCAAGCACTTCAAAGCATTAGCTCACTTATTTCTTACAAAAGCCTGTGTGGTACCATGAGGTTACTACTACCATCTCCATTTTACAGACATATAAACTGAGGCCCAGAGTGGGGAAGTAATTTGCTTAAACTCCCAGCTAGAAAAAAGTTTTTAGCCTGGAACCTGGTCTCGGGGTCTCTGCCTGAGGCTGTCTGGGGAGGCAGGTGGTGTCCTGTTGTGACCCACCTCTCAGGCCATCTTCTTGTCCCTCCAGCCATCAGCCAGCACTTCCGCCATGCTTCAGTCCAGGATGCCTGCTAAGTCCTTTCTCTGTGCCAGGAGTTACTGGAAAGGAGTACAGATGTTCTGTCCTCAAGTTGCTTACAGTCTAGAGGAAGAGACAGTATTTGTGCCAACACAGTGGTGTAGCCAGAAGCCTGCAAAGATCAGAGGAGGGAGAAAATTCTTCCAGTTGAGTCAAGAGAGAATCTGAAGCAGGTGGCATTCGAGTTGAGCCTTGAAGGCTGGGTGAGATTTCAACATTCAGAGGCATCAGCAGAACAGGTGAAGGGAAGCACAGGAGGAAAGGTGTAGAGGCCAGAAACAGTAGGGTATGTTGGAGGGATGGCAGCAGAACCCCTGAAATGCTAGTCGCTCTCTGGCGGTCCCAGCAATTGGGGGCCAGTAGGGCCTGAAGTCTTCTCACTGCCCCCCGCCCTCATCCCTGCAGCCAGACATCAAAGAAGCACCATCGGTGTGCCGGAAACCTTACATCCATCCATTCATTCACTTATGAGTGAACACAGAGCTCGGTGCTGTGCGGCAGGTACTGTCTATGTGTGTTGGGGAGAGGATTTGAGGGAGCTTGCTCTCCTGGGGGTGGGCGGCGCGGAGACGCACAAAAACCATGCACTGTGCACGCCGTGCACACAGTACAGCAGGCTGTGACTATGGCTTGGGAAGGGGCTGCTGTAGATGGGGTGGTCAGGGAAGGCCACCTGAGGAGGGTTATTTACCTGGGACCAGAATGGCAAAGTCACTCAATGACCAGTCAGCCAAGCACAGCTCTGGGTGAACCGCCATCCAGGCAGAACACTCAGCAAGCGCAGAGGCCTGAGGACAGGGGTGAGCTTAGCAAAGTGAAGGGATAGACGAGGCCAGTGTGGCTTCAGGGGCCTGAGTGAGAACAAGATTGCCTAAGTCAAGTTCGGAGATGAGGGGAGAGGTCAGCCCATGTCAGCCCAACAAGGCCGGGGGGAGGAGCGGGGATTTTACGCTGTGGGTATTGAGGGGTAAATAACTTGCTCAGGGATCAAACAGCTAGTTAAGTTAGAGTCAAACTGCAGATGCCTCCTGCCAACCAAAGGGACCACCAGTAAAAACAGTCTCCCAATGGCTCAATGGGAGCTCAGATGAAATCAATATTGTATTTGTTGTAAGAACAGAAGGCAGCATTTCTTGATCTGAATTAACTGCACTCCTAACATAAAAGAACATTATGTGTACATGCACTTTAACATCCGTGTAATTAAAATACCCTAGTGCAAGCTATTCCTGAACCCCAAAGGCAGAGGAGGACTCAGATGATTCACTGTACACGAGGACGGTACAAGGGATTTGGACCTCTGTTCTGGAGCCCACCTCTGTCCTTCTTGGCTCTCAGTTGAGATAGCAGAGTCCAGCCAACAAAACAGGGATTTTGAAAACAGATGTGGGTTCAAGTCCTTTCTGCAGCGTTTACAGCCATGTGACCTGCCCAAGCCTCTCCACACCCTTTGTCTCCAAGGGGCTCTTATAGAGACGAGGTAACCCACATACATGGAGCGCCGGGAACCCCGAGCTCGGGGCGCACGTGATCCCTTAGCCCCCTGCCTCTCGCAGGAATTCCTAGGCCCCTGGAAAACACAGGCTAGCC